GGTACTCTGGAAAAGCAGTATGTGCTCTGAGTGATCTCTCCAGTCCCAATTTTTTTATTTTTAATATTCAAAAAAGGACTTCAATAAGTACTTTTTAAAATTAGGAATTAATGCTTAAAATTTAGAAATACTTATAGATATTTTATAGCAGTTTATAAAAAGTTCCTCATTGGTAAGAAAAAAGTAGCTTTTGCATATTTGATGTTACAGTTTTAAGATGAATGTATGCTTATTTACAACAGCTAAGGAAAATGCAAGAGTAAAAATTTAAACACTCATGTAATTTAGTTAATCTGGCATAGGTAAATACCTATGAAAGTCATTTAATTGGCAATGAATTAAATTTTCTGAAAATGCATCACTCTATTACTAGCAACAAAGGAAAAACTGTATTTTAATAAAAGACTGTTTCCATGCCCCATTAAGCAAATCATAATATACATCTTATAATGCCTACCTGTCCATAAAATGCTACATCTTCCAAACTGGTTGAATATAACTTAAGTCAAAGGCTGTAAGTACAGTCGGGATGGAATCTAATATACTCAGTCAATCTCTCTCTTCTTCATAGCTTCCTTTTCACTTTCTCACACATATACTGCATGATAGTAAATCTTATTCCAGGAGAACTGGCTGGTGATTTATTCAAGCATAGATGAAGGCATAATGAACTTAATTATATTAAAATCATAGTAGCCCTTTAAATTTGAAATTAGAATGCTTTTGCTGAGTTTTTACTTACATTTTATAATTAAAGGATGTAAAGTTTAGAAGGAGAACTCTGAAAAATAGCAGTTTGGTCAATTCAAATACAGGATGTGCAAAACAGCAGGTCAGTGAAGCTTCTTGACTGTCTTACCTTGAAGAACTTCACAGGCCAGAGCCTGGCCTCACCTGGTGGCTGATGTGCCTGGACATGAGAATAAGCCATACTGTGTTCTTTTTCAGCATCCTATCGGAATTATTAGTATACCATGTCCTCCATACTGTTTCCACTGAGCCTTGGAAAAGAGGTCATTTTGTAGCCATTTCAAAGACAATACACTGTGTAGTCAAGAAAAGTGATGTCTCTATGTACCTCCATTAGCCTCAAAAAGTTCTCTGTGTGAATATTAAAATCTATTTTAGATATAACAAAATTAAACTGAAATATTTTAACCATGAGAAATAAATGCAAAGTAAAGACTGTTTAATGGAGATAACTAGTGCATATCACTATTAAATTGCCTTGCCTTTCAAGCGGTAATCTAGAAGATAATCCACTAATTATCAGAGAAATTTTAATCTAATGTATGAACCCTTTAGCAGACTATCAGAGTTGTATTTCTTACAGTAGTTTTGTAAGAAAACAAGCAAATTGCCTCTAATGCTTTCCAAAATTTAAATTAAATGTGAAATTAAGTATGTTCAAATGAAGCTTTTAAAACAACTAAGCATAAAATCTATGAGGCCAATGTACTTTATTTCAATAACTTTTCTGAAGTATATTATTACACTTAATACTTATGATCTGGTTTCCTTCAAGGGAAGAGTTTATCTTAAGTGCTCTGAAGCAAATGGGCTACTAAATAATGCAGAAAGTCTAATAAATCACTAGCTTTTTTGGTCTATTTATTCATTAATGACTTAGTTTTTCTTTTAAAATGTAAATCAACGACTCAACAAACTTTATTATATGTTAACATGTGTTTTACTACAGTCTTTTAAAAGATGTTTTGTTTCTGCCCATTTCCAAATTCATTGCAGGCATCAAAGAATTCATGAATATGAATAAAATCAGATTAAGCTGAACGTGTATATTAGGCACATTCATAGTATTTGAGAAAGCACAGTAGGAATTTATATATGCATTATATATATGCATATATATATATATTTGTATAATACTGGCACTTGTTGAAGGCTGCAAAGTTGAATTTATCAAAACTCAATTAAACATTAACTTTTAAGTGCCACAAAAACTGTAGCATAGCTAATTTAAAATATATGTGGTTATAATTTGCACTATACTTTAAGAGTTATAACTAAGTTCTCATGAATTTTAAAGTCAGACCTACTATGTTTGACTTGTTGGGTCAAAAGCATCTTATGCCTATTTCTAACTTTCTATTCATTTTGAAGATTAAACAAAAGATTGATCAGAGTTGGTCCTGCACAAGTAGACAACTTCTTTCATGTTAACCTTTTGCTTTGAGAAAACTGAAAAATCTATTTTCACTCTAATAACTCAAAACAAGCCAGATGGGGTTAAAAAAACAATTCCATCAGTTGTTGAGGATATAAAGAAATCTAGCTAAATTCCAGAAATTGATATATGCATTATCGTTTCTAGGCAAGGCAAAGATTTCTAGAACTAGCAGAGAGAGTAGTGGGAGGAGAAAGCAAAATTAATCACCACATGTGGAGCTGCTGTGATAGCCCCCATCCCAAATACCTCAACAAAAGTTACTGAGTACCTCATCTAAGCTCTTCCAAGTGATATTTCATTCAACTGTCACAATAAGCTTCTGAGGATAATACTACTGTCTTTATGTAATTTTTATTCCTATTTCACTGAGCTGGACTGAGATGAGCAGGTCATCAGCTAAAATCAGTATGTGGGCAGCAGAGCCAAGGTTTAACGTCAGGTCTGTGGCTATTTCCATTTTAGGTCTGAAGCTGTTCTACTTCCCAGTGGTTCACTCATCAGTATGGCCTGATGCTTAACTCAAATTATCAAGCATTCTTTCAATGGTCTCCCTAAGAAGTAAATTCAGTATAAAAAATTGAAATGTAGGAGCACTGAAAAAAGAAAAATTAGTTTTATAGAACCAGAAATTTTTTACAGATGCAGGTAATACAGTTCTCTGCTTCAAAAATTCTAGCATTACATCGATATGTCAGATTTAACATATATTCTCAACTCAAATATTCAAGAATTAGTATGTATAATAATCTGCATTGTCAATAATATATGTAGTTTTCCCTTTTTACTTATGGATACCTGTGTATACCCATAAATTATACTTTCTATCATTTGCAAACGTTTGCTATATTTCCAAAGACCAATGTCTATTGAAATTCAGAAAATAACTTGAACATCTAAGACTTTTTATTGTTTTCATTTTTTTTGTGTGTATATGAGTGTATGCCCTGTATGTATATAAGTGCACCTATGTTGTGCAATGCCCACTATCAGAAGAGGGCATCAGATTCCCCTGGAATTGGAGTTAGACAGCCGTTAGCTACCATGTGGGTACTGAGAATCGAACCTGGGTCCTCTGCAAGAGCAGCCAGTACTCTTAACTGCTGAGTCATCTCTCCAGACCCCAAACATCTAAGAATTTTATAGGCTGCTTTCTGAACTTGTTTTACCATTTATAACATGGGTATTTATTGCCCTATCCAACACCTAAACACCTTCTAGCCCGAAAACCACTTATTAATAAATATTATATGAATATTAATTCCATTTTTTTCTAAAGACTTTGCATGTGTACGCATGTGCATGCACACGCACACACACCCACATATGTGCACGCAGGTATCCAGGAAGGACAGAGAGGGCATTTAATTCCCTGAAGATGGAGATATGGGTGGTTGTGAACCGCCTGGTGTGGGTGCTGGAAACTGAACCAGGTTCTCTGGAAGAGCAGCAAATGCTCTTAACTGCTGAGCCATCTCTCCAGTCCCTTATTTCCACTGTTACAGTCAACTTCTCAAATTACCAATGGGCTTATATGAATTATAAAGGATTACAACTGTTTGATATTTTCCCCAAAATTTATCTACAGGATTACTTTTCCTAAGGAGCTCCAAACATAGGTCAAAGAAGGACCTAGAGTGGAACATTGAAGGTTAGTTACTTCAGAGGAGCCCAGCAGACAGTGATAGAGTGACAGGAAAGGCAGGCTTACAGTTCCTTATGACAACAAAAATGAAGCCGGGCATGGTGGTGCACGCCTTTAATCCCACCACTCAGGGGAGAGGCAGGCAGATCTCTGTGAGTTCAAGGCCAGTCTGATCTCCATAGTGAATCCAGGCCAGTTGTGGCGACAGGGAGACCCTATCTCAAACAGACACCCCGACCCCGCAATAAATAAAATAAAAATAAAAATGAAGTGAAAAAGCAAAGTGAAGTGTTGAGAATCACTTCTGCCTCATCCCACATCACTTTTCCTGAAGTCTCTACCTGGTAAGTCCCAACATGAAACAGTGTTCTAATAATACTTCATGAAGCATTTTCATACAATAGTGAAACTACCTGAAACCCACCTTTCTGTAGGCATCACCCACTTTCCTAAGCCTTTGATCTTCTTCCATGAGAGATTTTCTTGTTTATATCATCAAATTGCTTTCTTTAGCCTTAACTGCTGGAGGTTACATCATCACCTCAAAGCCTAAAGCCAAACTACTGTCTGATCCTGAAAATAATTTTTTTCCTGAAAATAGTTCCTATTAATGACAGTGAGAAATAAAGTTACTGAATGTGGACATTAACATCTCTTGACTACAATGAGGCAAGCACTCTCCACTGTACTGTCTTCTGAACATCTCATGGTTTGGTGACAAACAGGATGGATGAAGATGGAAGCCACAGCATCAAGCAATGGAAGCCATGTCTACTGATCACAAGGCATCTAAAGCAAACCCGCACCTCTTCTCATGCTTTGTCCTGTCTGTTCAGGTCATGCAACCTCACTCAGATCTGGTGTTCTTACCTCTAAAATAGAGGCTCAAATGATGACAAATTCCACAGAAAATAGGACTTGAATTGACAATTACAGAGGAGCAAAAAGAAATGAACTCAGGGAAGCCCAGCAGGACAGGTTCATGAAAATAGAAAAAATTAAAGATTTTGAAATTGCAGTCAAAATTTGCCTTACTTGTTCTGATTTAATATAAATATTAATTTGTTTGGAATCTGAGCTTTTAGGGCATATCTTAGGTTCTATATTAACAATATAAGTGACTTTAAGTAAAGATTATAAGAGACTTAAGCAAAGAAGCAACAAAGTCAGTATATTTCTATAAAAATTTATTTTTGAACCTATAAGTAGGTAAATTCCAAAAGAACAATGCAGTGTTTAACAATATTTAATAGTTCTTTTTTGCTCAAATCCACCTTTGTGTTTTGCTTTCTGTAAACAAATACAATGATGCAGAACAGCAGTCCTCTTAACTGTGAGCTCAATGCTGAGTATTTTCAGAATCTATTTTGAGCACATAATAATGCAGAGACTTGAACACTTGACTTCTATGCAGAACTCAGCAATTACTATTTCACATTATTTTATCACAAATTATAATCAAATGGTCTACATAAGTAGCTAAAAATCATAAAACTACTACAAAGCAAGTCAACAGAATTTATCATTAAAAAGAACAATAGTTGACATACACAAAATCAGGCCCCAGTAGAAATGTATCTTTATTAAAGAAGGTCCTCATACAAAGAATTCACGTGGTCAAAACTTATTAAGAGGACTGGAGGGAATAAGAAACAGGCCTATAGTTGTACCAGACAAGGAAGGAGAGCCCATCATCACAAGAAAAGAAAAAGGAGCGTTCTATCACCATCCTACGAGCCCAGTCTCAGGCTCTCCGGACATTCCATTGCTGCTCTTCCATTCACATCAGAAAGTAACAACTGGGTTTTGTATTGCTATTTAATCTGACAGTAAAATACTGGGGAAAAATTGGTAGAGTCACACCAACTTTAGGTAATCTCAATATCCCTGAAAATAGGGATTTAAATGAGTCAATAAGGAACAGTATTCAAAAATCACTATATGATCTAGTATGATTTCTAAAATCCAGTAATCGCCAATGCAAAGGGCATCAGGAATGTTGGGATGCTGGTTATTAAGGTGGTACTCCAAGCCATTAGCTGGAACAAATTCAAAACTCACACTTATTTGCATCACCTCAGTTTAATAATCCAATAAATGACAAAAAAGACAAACAATGAAAATAGCATCATATAGCACAGTAATTTTGTTTGGCTCCCTCTGGACAGAACCTTCAGTCTTCCCATAGTTTTGCCTAGAAATCCAGTTGTAGAATCAAATTGTGAATCCTATGAGAAGATCAGAAAAACATTATGAATTCTAATATTCTACATATGCACATTAGTCTAACATATTTGTATACTTTTTTTTTTTTTTTTTTTTTGGTCTTTTTGAGACAGGGTCTCCCTGTAGCCCCTGCTGTCCTTGAACTCACTATGTGGACCAGGCTGGCCTTGAACTCACTATTATTTGTATACATTTTTAAAGACAGTTTTTGTGGGTAACCAAGTCAAATGTCTACATACTACCTTGTGTGATCAGCTTGATTACTCCAAGCAAAATAAAGCAGTTCTCCTAATGGCTCTTTCATTACCCAATAAACATTTCTTTCAGTCTCACAAAGTAGTTTCAAAACTCAAACTACTTAGGTCTTTCTTATCCCAATTATATGGATAAAAAACCACTAACAATAATGGCAAGGAATTTGTGCCTGCAAACAGGTTTTTGCGCACTTTCTGTTACAGCATGACTTTCCAGGGTTAAATGGGTGACTGTTATCCTGGAAAGGACTTCATCTGAAATTGAATATGCTTAGCACAGTAAAGGGTAGAATGCCTTTACTTTTAAGAGTCTCTTGTTTAGACAGACAACTTTGAAGTACAATGAAATTTACTAAGAGTAGATACAATATTAATGTTGAAGGAGTAGAAAGGATTATAAATACAAATGTAAAAAAATACCAAATGGCCACGCGCGGTGGCGCACGCCTTTAATCCCAGCACTCTTTTTGAGTTCAAGGCCAGCCTGGTCTACATAGTGAGTTCCAGGACAGCTGGGGCTACAGGGAGACCCTGTCTCAAAAAAACAAAAAACAAACAAACAAACAAACAAAAAAAAACAAATGAAAATGTAGCTAGGAAAGCCTTTAAGCTGAGAAGACTCAGCATAGATTAGAAATACTGCCCTTTCATGGAAATCTCAATATTCTGACATGAAAAGGCCCAGACATAATGAGACTCTGCATAGCTTAGTCTCCACACAGCTTAACCACTTTAGATCTGTGGTACTTCACAGGAGTTACTGCATCAGAATCACTTGGGATGCTTTTCCCAAAATACATATGTCCAAACTCTTCTCCATGAAATTTTGAATGAACTTATTTAGAGCAAGAAACAAGGATATCCATTTACAAAGAACATGCTTTAATGCCATATTCATGTTTGAATAATACAATTTTAAAACCATGTGGAGAAGCAAAGGACGGTCTGGAAAAGCTATATATCAAAAGTAAGCATTAACGACTGGAGAAGCTCTCAGCTTGTTTAGACTAGAAATGAAGGGACCTGGTACTCAAATCTGAAGGATTTGTTCAGCAGTGATCCTTAGGAAATAAAGCAAAGGAAATAAGCTTCTGTTAAGTGAAAGGCATTTGGATGGTTGGATGTAAAGTGCTTTTTGATTACTTGGTTAATAAATTACTAGTGGTCTGTCCATTAAGACTTCTAAGATCATTCAAAACTGCCATTAGTCCTCAGTCTTTGTGTTTGTAAACCCAGGATTAAGGACATACCGGCTTCCATATCCCCTTGTTAGACAAGACATTAGACAAAATAAAAATGAAAAAAAAAAAAAATACATCTTGTAGAAATTATAAATTGATTAAAAAAAAGGAGTGAAGTTCATCAGGACTGATCTATTTTAAATGGGTAAAAATAAAATATACTTTATTATTCCTGTTTAACAAACTGAATTTGAGAATATTAGATCAAATTTCTTAAAATCATAATCACTTACCATTTCAGCTAATAGTTTATTTTGATTTTTAACTTCATGGCCTATTTCAATGGAAAGCTATAAAGAAGAATATGTATTATATTACTACTTCTGTAAAGATGTTCAAAAATTATAAATTAAAAATAACAATGTCATTCTAAGCATTTTTAATTTCTCAGGTAAAACAGTATCCTAGAAATATGTACTGTCTCCTGATATTTTATCCAGGAAAATAAACCTAGAATTTCTCCTTCTTTCAACCAGAGACACTTTTTTCTCTTCTCTTCCCTCATAATATTCAATCTGTCTCTTAATATTCTTTCAGATCTTATTCTTAGACTTTATTCTCCTTTTTATGCATATAATAGTATTTATCTGTATATTTCCTCTTACATTTTAAGAAGTATAAGTACTCACATGATCAATTCAAATATAGACTTTTTAATACTTTGCTAACAAAAGATGACATTACTTTGAATATAAGATTATTTTAAAGATTTTCTTCACTATAGTAATAAATTGGAAAAACCTCATAAATTAGTGTTTTCTGTAACCTAAAAATTATACAGAAAGAATATGAGCCTGAAAAAAACAATAATATAAGTAATTCCAGCTGCTATGCAAATTTATACCTCATGTTTTATACAACAAATTCACCAACGGCTGCCTTTCAAAGTACTTTAATAAATATGATTAGTGAAATTCTTTGAGACATGTTCTCAAATCTGTGAAAAGCATACATAATATGGATACAAAACCAAGATAAGAATTATGTAGATTAGAACATGAACTTTTCCTCCAAATTTAACAAATCACAGATAATAAAGCAAGACAGCTCAACTCAAACAACTACTTTAAACAAATGACATTCATGCCAAGGAAAGAAATTTCCAGGACATCAGTTTTCTTCTAACAAGGAATCTCAATGATCAACATTAGAATGTTTGTTTGTTCTTTCAAAGGCATTCAATTCTTATGTCTTTCCAAATGCTGGATTTCCTAAATTCTTAACCTTTGTATATTACTCGGTTCATAAATCAAGTCTTTTTGATTTATGAATTTGAAAACATTACTGCATTTCAGAATATTCTCTATAAGCTGAATGCATAGAATTCAATTTTCTTAAGACTGGAAGGAAAGACCAAGTTTGGCAATATGAGCTTCTACTGAATGCTAAGTGTGTAGTGTGCTTATTGAAATGGAGAATAGATAAGTATTAAAATCATCTTGCATAATTCCTATATTTAATAGAAATTTAGTCAATACTACTAAGAAATTATACTAAGTTCTATGTAGAATACAAAAGAAAACTCTACATTCTTATAAATTTCTTTTACATATAAATAATTCCCATGGAAACCATTATATAACACATGCTATAGGAATGTCACAAATAGTCTTGTTTGTAGGGAAAGTTACTACTGGATGTAGTAGTAAGCTACAGCTTGGAGGAGAGATGAAGAAGAGGATGACCATGGTAAAGGCACAGTTTGATCAAAGATATGGGGATATAGGTAGCAAGGGTGTGCAGAAGACACAAAGAGGACTCTCATTGGTTTGTCAGAAAAAGCAAAGACATTCGGATGTGTGGGAGAGAAGTTCTGAAAGGCTGGCGTCATTCTGAGGGACATATAGAGCAATCAGTCTACGGAGTGTGAATTTATTAAAGAACAGGGGAATTCAAAGACTTCTGAGAAGACAAGATGTACAAAGATGAATGTGGTAATGTGGAGGTCAGGAAGCAAAGATAGGTTCAGAGATTCTTTCTGAGGTCCATGCATAAAAATCAGGGTCATATTAGAGATAAACAAGAGACAGCCTCAAATGAGGCTCACATGTAGAAATAACAAAGGCTAAGATTTATACTTTAAGTGACCGGCAAAGACAGGTGTATGTGGCCATGGAAGAAGGATGGCTTTGTTTGAAGTACTGCTGATGATCATATACAATGTGTTTGTGTGTGTGTGTGTGTGTGTGTGTGTGTGTTTAGCTAATATACACATACACAGACACACACACACACACAAGTTGAAATTTGAGGAAAAAAAATTAAACGAAAGTACTGTTATCTTTTGATTTGACACATTTTCTAACCTACCTAAAGCATGGCCTGAACTTTAAGTACATTCTGACCTTACTGAATCACAGAACTTAAATGAATTTCTTACTATGATGCAATAAATGTAAACATTTTTTAAGTACATGCTATATGTTAAAATTCGAGTAACAGTCATCAGGCACTTACAGATTTTATTGCAGTGACTTTGCTCCTCAGACTTTCTGTGAGCCTCTCATTTTCTTCTTCACAGGCATTGTACCCACTGTTGGCATAGCCATAGTTCCCATAGCTGCCTGGAGGTGCTCCTTCACCTGCAAAGTCAGAGGCACACATGTAGGGCAGCAAAAATAGAAGCTACTTTTGAAAGCTTAGTAGTTAAGAAAGAACTTGAAAAGACCCCTGGAGGGCGTTGTAGACCACATGTCTGTAATGAATATATTCATGCTCAGTAATTTTTACAAAATCAGAACCAGATAAGAATAATTCTTTCCATCTCCTTTTTTAAGCAGAGAGCATGCATTTTCTTCACATACACATTTATTGATCACTTATTGATTGCCCAGAAGACACTAGAGCAGGCCATGATAAATGAGGCTACTTGGGATACCTTTCTTGCACACTAGAAATACATGTTTTAATGTAAGATCTAAATGTAGCATCAACTACCCATTAGGGGAGCATGGACATGCAGAGAAAGGGTCAAAGATAACATGATGGGAGGGGATCTCATGGCAGAAAGACAGTCTTTTAAAGTCATCTTTTTCTTACAAGAACTAAATGGTGAAAGCCAAGGAACAAAGTGAAGTAAAGGCCAAAGCAGAAGGCCTTGGACTGAGATGAACAACCCCACAGGCCATCGGCTGAGAGTCCCAAGGGATTTCACTCACACTTCAACAAATGCTCAAGAAACTACCATGTGCACATCTATTCTTCTTCCCAGGTGCCATTCTTGCAGAGCTTGTGTTCTAAGGGATGGTGTGGAAAAACATTTCCCATTACCCTGTCGACTATAGACTTGACATTTACTAAACAAATGAGTGGAGTGAGCATTAGGCAGCAAATACATACAAAGTGTACTGGGGATTCAAAGTATTATTTTATCCAAATTTGTCTTTATTGGTGATCATTTTCCCAATAAAGGAAGAAAGCAGGCTACTTACTGAAGGGCAATCATTTAGATAAACAATAAGGAGAATCATGAAGAAACATGACCAGAACTGTTCAGTATTGCTAGAACAAATTAAACACGGCTGTGGCAGCATACTGTAGTGGCTTCCATCCTCCCAGATATGTGATCTTTCAAGAGAAGGGCTTGAGGGCCTGAGTCAGCCTTTGAGAAACCATACTGTTGCACAGACCTAGAACTGGAAGTTTACAGTACGGGGACTGCAGAAGAATTCTGTCCCCAAAGTTTGACATAGCTTGACAATAGTGGTTGAAGTATGGATTGAAGAGACTGGATTGCCTCACGATAGGAAGGAAATTTGATAGTGACCTGAGAAGGTGGGAGACTGGTGACATTAAAACCATTGGCCCCAAGGCTCAAAACACAAATGAGTGGCGATGGCAGCTGGAGCAGCAATAGTAAGAGTTGGACAATGGGCAGCAGGAAGGGCGAGCAGCTCAAGGTGCTGAATAGTATGAACAGGAAGCGCCTTCAAAGCACAGTACAAGCTTCGTTTTCTCTCAAAGCAAAACTCCTGAATCCTTATAACTCTGTGTCAGTAACACTGATCTCTCAGATCTTGCTCTAAGGGCATAAACTAGGTTTGTTCACTCATTATTGTCCATACCTTATACACACAGGCACATAAATATGCACCACACACCCACAGTCACAGTATTTTGAGCAAATAAATGCTTGTAAATAAACTGATTAAAAGACATAATTTTAATGTATTGTCATCCAACTTTGTCAAGAGCAGAAAGTATCTCATGCTTCCATCTCCTCCTCTATCTAATGAGGACTTTCTATGCATAGGCATTCACAGACTCCGCCACACAAAAACCACAACAAAATGTTGACTCAGAATATTCCAAACAAGTAGAGATTTGCATTACCAAATTTTGCCTCAATTGTTGACATGCTATCTCTGAAGTTTTCCAAATGTGCTATCATACAAGTTAAGAGCTAGAGGACAAGGCATAATAATTTTCCTCCATATAACAACTAAAATCATCACTTAAAAATTAAATTCTATTAGTCAGTAATATTGAGTGCAAACTAATATAAGATCTTTAAAGAAAATGACATGTCTTTTGCTTATTTTATGTCAATAAGGATTTGGTTTGTAATATTTGCCCAATAAGCAATAATGGATTGGCTGAATTTCACCACTGGACAACTTCACCAAGGAATTCATTCTCAAGTAATATTTTGTGTTTTTTCCTTTGTTTTGTCTCTTTGGCCTATCTTAATTTTAACTTTAGAGTTCTTTCGCATTTTTCTTTTTAAGCAAAGTTTTCATTTTGTTTATTGTCCAGCATTTTTCAATGCACAGGTCCAAAATTTAATCTTTGTTCAAACTATCCTTCATCACCAATACAGGATAACTAAAATAAAATACCAGAATTTCTATTCCAAACAGTCACTATTTTCTGGGAACTGCTCACTACTATAAACAGTTCTGGAAAAGCAAGCAGGTGCTCAAGATCATCTGCAGGTTATGTCAGTTCTGATAAATGCTACCTTTTGGGGGCAGATTCTATCAATGATTAGGCCATTTAACAACTCATGTCAAGTGTGGTAGATTTTACACACGAGTACCTATCAGATTCACTATTATTCCAAATTTAAAATTTCAGGTCAATACACATTGATACTTATTAAAGTCTTCAAAACTTTACCCCAATGTAAATTATAAGCATACTTACCTAAATAACTACTTCTCCTCTCAAGGATAAAGGAACTTTGAAAAGAAAGGAGGGGGGAGTGGATTCTATCCTAGAGATTCTAATTTAATTGAAAATCTAACGTCTTTCTGGATAATTTTAACATACAGTCAGGACAAGGAACCTAACTGTCAAGTCCCTGCTCTGCATCTTACAAAGCCTACTGTATCACACACACACACACACACACACACACACACACACACACACACACACACACAGAATCCAATGGACCAGTGGTCTAGTGATGAAACTTAAACTCCTTGGCCAGACAGGTATTCAGAATGCCCTTACTTTAACTAAAGGGGCTTGATCATCACAATCTCTTGTACACGTCATTCATAACTCTACTCTTACATCTTTCTTTTCATCTTCCCATCTGGAACTTTCTTCTTACACTCTCCATCGTTAAAGATCTACTTCAATTACTTTGTCTCCCAAAAGTACACAATAATATAGTTATTAAATCTCTAAGGTATTCACTTTCTGTTGACCTTAACTGGTGTTTGAATGAAAAGCCATCACCTTGGATCACAATTTGTCTTTGCATATAGTCTACTCAATTACACTGGAAGCTCTGGGAAACACAAATGATGACAAATGACTATACAACTAAAGCTTACTCAAGTTACAATAAGTATTTGTTAGTCAGTGATGAAAAAAACAGGCATACAAAACCAAATTTGTTCAAAATTAGCTCTTTGGTTTCTTTTACATAATCTACTTTCTCTGAATAATATCAAGTATTGATAAAACTACATTTTAAAAACTCCTCATAGTATTTATCTGTTTAAGTCTGTATTTATTGGCACCTTTCACTGATTTTGTGCCTTTAAATTACACAATTATTAGACCAATCTTATAAGATCATGACTTTGACTGTCTTGAGTATATTTACACACACACACACACACACACACACACACACACACATACATAGTCACACTGAGCAATGAGCCCTGGTTTGCAAAAGAGGATTTATTTTTTGTTCCTGTCTTTAAGTCTCGGCCTACTCACTGACTTTAAAATACCTGAAACTTTTGAGCAACATGGTCTCCTTTTTCCAACTTGTGACAGAGTAGAAGCATCTTATTGAATATTTCATACATTGCACTTCTTTCTTTAAAAAAAAGTCAATAGAGAATTTCAGAACCAGAAAATGCTATTCTAATAGTTATATATTATACGGGCCCATTGGATCTCTTGTGCCTGACTTGTTCCTGTTACTTAACGTACCAACTTCCTAATCCACAAAGGCAAGAACAAATGTTAAGTCATCAAAAGTTACCACCTTTTATTGCCTCAGCGGTGGGACAAGGTCTAGGTCAGAAATGTTTCAGGTAAATAGCCTTTGACCCAGACCTTACGTAACAGGCACTTTAACAATGACAGTTAAATTTACCTTTGTAACTCAGTGTAGCCAGACTAACATAATCGTTATCAGTAGGCTTGGGGTATAGCACCTACTCTCAGTGCTACTTCTAAGAAAAAAAAGTAAGATTCAGAGTCAATAGACAAAAAGAACCAGAGTTGGGCACAGCTTCCATAATTACTGCTCAAACAATAACTTAACACTTAAAAAGCAAGGTACTGAGTTGGCACCAGTACTCTACCGCATCATACAAACTTTCTTCTGAATCGAACTTCAGGAAACTCCCAGGATCTGGGACAAAGGATGTGCTTCCATTTGGCAACGCCTCCAAAGAACCCCTCCAAACATCTCCCCTTCTGGCCCAAAAGCCAGAGACACAAGACCGGTCGGATTTCCTCCCAAGCCCCTCCGCCCAGCACGGCCGGTCCTTGGGTCCCCAAACTTTGAACCTCAGCCCTCTTCTTACCCAGGCCTGCACGCCTCATCCTGCCAGGGTAGGGAAAGGCGGGCGAAGGATGAATGGGTAGGAAAGGGCCAGGGTCACGCGACCTTGACTTCAGCCTCAGAGCCCCTCAGAGGAACAACTTCTTTACTAAGCGCCACGACACCAGTAAAGTCTAAACACCGCGCCGGGTGATGGCGTCACCCGGACGCTCATTGGCGCCCAGCAATGAGAATTGAGAAGCATTCTGGGAAATGTAGTTCGATGTCAATACTCGGACTATGGCGGGGGGCGTGGCGCGAACCATCGGGAGCAGGCGGGGCTTCCGGAAGAGCAGCTACGGCTGTGCCTCCACAGCCCTGGGTCTCTGGGACTTCAGAGCACTATTCCTGACTTCCAGAACGATACTTTCTATTGTTGACCCCAATTGTAATCCAGGAAATCGGCTTCTCCAGGACTCGGAGGATGGTGGTTGACGCATCATTTCTCATTCAGCCACGGCTCACCCAAAATCAGTTGAGAGAAAGTCAGGGAAAACTTTGTTCAAGTTACTCATCTCACTGTCCCAAACCTCCCCGCTGGACAGAAGAGAAAGTGATTCGATTTGTACCTGGTGGTGCTTGGTCGTTCTCAGTGTAGTAGAGAAAACCGTTGCGTAGGTCTTCCAGTAGCAAAATGTGGAGTCTCTTCTCCCTGTTAATGCATTTGTTTCAAGTCTGGCGAGAGCCACAACATTTAGCTGTTAAAACACTCCCACTTAGACTTTTTTAGCTTACACAAAGGATCCTAAACACTGCTTTCACCCAGCAAGGTGTCGATTTAAGGGTTTAAAAGCTTGTTGGCAGGAGTGGGAAAAGCAAAGGTGCATTTTATCTCAAAGCATTACAGTAAAATAATGCTTTTTGAAAACTTTTAAACAGATTTTCACAGCCCATATTGAGATGTTTTACGATTTTGTTTCTACTATATGACAGCATAGTCTTCATTCTGGAGCTTTCTGTAAAGGTAATTTCTGAATGCTTAGTGCTCCCACTATGAACATTGAGCATATAAATCAATTGTTCAGTGTAAACGTTGACTATAATCAGAGCTTAAATCTCTGTCTTAAGAAAGCGTTTGTAAAGTATACCTAAGACAATGTTTAATAGGCTATATTAACCTATTAATATATATTAATAGGCTATATTAACCTAATATATATTTAGGTATATATATTAATATACCTAAATATATAAAATATTTAGGTATATTAAAGTATACCTAAAACAATGTTTAATAGGATATATTAGCATTTTGAAAGAAAAACAGTTTTCATAAAACATAAAAGTAAAATAGACCACATTCTTAAAAGCAATTTCCGTTTACATGACTACTGCAGTCAAGGCCAATCATAGTAAAGTATCACAGAGAAGCTTCTTTATGCAACAGATGGTGATTAACACAGATACCACAACTGGCCAACCTGTAGCAAATAAGAGACTTCAGACTTTTCATCTCCAAGTTGAACACCTATATCAAACTCTTGCCTCCCAAGGCTTAGGGATCATGGTGGAAGAGGGGGTGGAAAGGTTATAAGAGCCAGAGGTGGCGGATGGCCACAAGAAAGCAGAAATTTCCAGACAGCTGGGCAGTTACTCATATGAACTCACAGCAATGGTGATGACATGTGCAGGTCCCACATAGGCCAAATCAAACAAAATCCCAGCATAAATGTGGGGATGTAAGCAAGAAACCCCAACCCTACCTGAGGAACTATTTGTCAACCAATGGCTCTAGAAAGGGGAGAGTGGGTCTTGTTTAAGGGTGACACTCTTAAGAGTGAGACCAGCCTCCAGTGGATGAATCCACACTGAATGACATTTAGGGACAGAAAATGAATATATATATATATATATATGAAATTGGGAGAGAGGACATTATTAAGGGTGTGCAGATATGGGAGAGGATTTAAATATGATCAAAATATTGTATGAGATTTGCAAAAATTCAATTATAAAAAGATGGGTAGAACCCTGGCAAACCTGAGAGATGGGTAGTGAACAGGCTGCTGTTTGTATTTCACTCCATGATGTTTCACTCTCCAGCAATGCAGATTCATTGCTAAGCCCCCACCTCATAGTGGAAAACGAATGATTCCCTCCTAATGTCAAATAGTAACTGGTCTTTTTTTAAAAAAAAAAAAAATGTCTTGCCCACAGTAGAGCAATATGGTAAAACTAAATTTCAAAATGGGCAGTTTTCACTGGCTGCTCTTTTAATATTCCAGTTTTACATAATCCTTGACATTTCTAAAATATTTTAAATTATGAAAAACATGTTTAATTTTCATTGCCTAAATAATATAAATGTTATTTTATTTAGATGGCTGTTTTACCTACCATTAAAGATTGCTTTAGTCAAGTTGAAAGTCATTTTAATAGCATCTATTACTCAAGACAGTTATTGAATTATCATTTTGATACATTCAATGAACCAACAGAAAAATAAAACCACTCAGTTTCATTCCTATAGTGTACTTAGGCACAGTGAGGGATATGTTATTTTATTAGCTAACTTTCTAACTTCTTTTAATCAATGATGCAGATCATTTTTCTATGCTTAAGAGACCAGAAAAACAAACGATGTATGCTCTTCCTCATTTGGATCCTAGCACCAAATCCTTTAAAATTCCAGGTCCTTTTAATAAGATGATGCTATACAGCAGTCCCTTCTGTATGAAATAACTACCATCATCACGACTTCAGCTGCACCTAATCACTAAACATAGTCACAATTGGGCTTGATTATGGTTGTCCTCATTCATTAAAGGAGGGCCAAGCAGTATCATTGGACCCTCACTCGAGTATCCAGCCACTCTTCCCAGCCAACTGTATGTAATTTGACCCTAATAATATATAGCTTCCTGGATCTGGGGAGGTCTAAACTATACAATGTGGAAGGATACTAAAGGAAGGCATGACCCATGCTGGGTAAAAGCTATCCAGTGTGCAAACACTCAGGTCATACATACACCTCAGCAACCCCTCAGTTATCTGAGTAAGTAAGCTCAATAAATTCATTGGTTCACCAGTAAAATTTTAAGGAAACATTGGCTTGACAATAGAACCTTAAAAGGGAGTAAGCATTTCTTAGCATCCCCAGGAAAAGAAGTTTCACAACAGATGGAAATTTTATTTGTTAATGCTATTATGTCTCCTAATTGTTAAAAAATAAAGAAAATGAGAATGTAAAAGATGTTAAAAGGATATGGGAATGGAGATATTTTCCAAAATAGATAGAAAAAAATGAGAAAGCCTAAGCAAGTGATGAAGGTCTGTTTAGATTTATTATATATAAAGGATGAGACAAAAATAATATGCACATAATCTTAACGTTTCTATGGTCACAGTTTAGTCAACTAGTTTAAGGAAGAAAATATATATCTAGTCAAAGTTTATCTGAGCATAGTTGGTTTTTTACTCAAGCCTTATCTACATAGTACCTAATAATTAAAAGTCCCAGACTGGTGGAACTAATCTTATTGGATGTTTAACAGCCATACTTTAAGGCCTATACTAATGTGGTCAGAGGGAATTAAAGGACAGTTTTTTCCCCTTGCCCTCCAAGGTTGACCACATTCCAGGGGACTATGGAACATCTCTCAAAATGTCTCGTAACTGTTTTCTTGTCCTCTTGTTCAGGGAGGACATGGAGACCCCACAAGATGGATTCAAACCAGTGTCTGGTCTATAAAGAGGAAAGTCAACTTAGAGGAAACATCTCATTCATGCTTCCAAGTGAAGCCAGACATGGTTGAACAGGACCTTTGACATATCTCCATATAGATGGAGCTGGTAAAAGAAAGGAGCGAGGAGCTCCTCCCAAGCCCATGTGACCCCTGAGGAACAGATCCTCAAATGATCTTAAGTGTAAAAATAAATTGATTTATTTGGGCCAACTGTATGGTATTAAACACTCAAAAGGAAGTATAACCAAAAGGAACAGTCATCAGTATATTTCTTCAAAGTTCAAGGGATTACACTTCCCAGACATTATATCTATATAAAAAGTTATTTAGACAATTATTTCTCATTGATGATTTTGTTCCTAACCAGAAAGTGTTGCTCAGATGTAAGACCTTAAATCTTGGTCTCCAATGCTATAGTGCCAACCTGTAGCTAAGGGAGATAATCAGCTATTGTTCTAAAAGGATGGATAAATTTGTTTTCTCCCCTTATTTCAGAAGCCTTTGAAAGGGAACTGACACTGATTCTAACTACTCCAACAGCTATCAAAATACCTGAAAGCAAATACTGAATCCATCACTCTAGAGTCCAACCTTGGAAGACGAAAGAAAAATGAAGAAGAACCCAATAGAGGGATGCTTTTGGAAACCCTTCTCAAGAAATTCCAATGGACTCTCATATGAACGTTTGAAAACTGCCCTGTTCTGAATTTTTCTAGTTTCCTGTCTAGAACTTGTAATCCTAATTACTCTTGCCTTTACTTCTCTTTCACAATTCCTATTCATGATTCAAGGACTTTCTTTTCCTCCTAGAGACAAGAGTTATGCAATTTGGGAGTCTTTTAGATAGACACACTGAAGGGGTACTCCAATTGCTTCACCCTGTGTCCCTGTTCAGCATGGAAGAAGCCAGAGGAGTCTGTGTCCCAATTGCCTATTGGCAATTTGGGTAGCCCCTTCAGAGGATGATGTGATAAGAATAGGAGGTAGGAATTGGCTAGGCAGTTAGGGTAAAAAGACCCCAAAGAAAAGTAGCCAGTTTCTTGGCTAAAAGCCAAAATGTCCTTGGGCCTCTTAGCAACATACTCTGTTCC